AAGTTGGAACCCTCCGAGAGCTTCACCTTTGAACATTGCTGCTTTGGGGGCCAAGATATCAATACATGAAGGACATTTTAGATCCAAACCCTGACAGACATCTCTTCTAGAACATTTTCAGGTGTGTTGAGTTTTGATGGCTCAGTCAGACCTATCACATATCCTTAGCTCACCTTTCTTTAACTATAATATTGGCTTTATTTCATCTTACAACTTACGCATTTTTCTGTGACACGCTCATCCTCAGCCGATCTCTGTTTTTCTACTGATTTTTCTTTCTCTTGTCAAGTTGCAATTTTTAATATGGGAAGACCAATAATACTCTGTTGCCCTGTGTACTAAAAACAGAGTTTTGGTTTTTCCTTTCTTTTTGGAATGTTGCTCTGTTTGAGACTGGACCTCACTTGCCCACTCCAAAGTCTTCGTTGTGTCCTCCACGGCTTCCTTCCTGTGCCCTGAGTACCTTATCTCTCCTTTGGAGTCTCAGATCTACCTGGAACTGACTTTCATGTGTGATGCGATGCTTAGGTCCAACTTTCTTCTCTCCATATAGGTAACGAATGGTCCTAAGAACATTCACGGACCACTGCCTCTTCTGTCACAGTTTTGTGAAGGGCCCAGAAGTGTGTTTTTTTTTTCTGGTTCCCATCCTGCTACGTCGCTCTGCCTTGCTTTGAGCGGCCAGGAGCAGGCTGCATAGCTTGCTGTATTAGTTACTTGTCTTGTTGCGGTGACAAAAGTGCCCTGGCAAACGCAGCTTGAGGAGGGAAAGACTGACAGCTTAAGGGCGCTGTCCCTCAGGGCGGGCAAGCATGGCAGTGAGAGCATGAGGCAGCTGGTCACCCTGCATCTTCAGTCAGGAAGCAGAGGAGGACGAGAGGTGTACCTGGCTCACCTCCTTGCATTCAGTCCAAGACCCCAGTATTAATATACTATATATAGATATACTGTGCTATATTATATACTATATTAATATAGCACATGGATACAGCCAGACCCCTCTTGATCTAATCACTTCCAACACTAGAAGAAGAAAAAGCAAATGAGCTTTCAGGTTACATTTCAGACTGGAGACAGAGAAGGCACGCTGAGTACTTCCTGGGGGTATTAGTGCAGTATAACTAGCTGATTTCTTACTATGTTTTATAAACTGCTTACTGCCTGCTATATAAATTGCTTTTATATTGATATTAAATCCAGTAATCTTGCAAAACCAAATCCAAAACTTGACAAAATTTCTGCAGAATTTTGATGTTTTAATGTGAGTGTAACAATGTCATCAGATGGCAGTGATACGGCTTTTTAAATTTTATGATCAAGGCTCATAATTTTCTTCTCTTTCTGTACAGCTAAGCATCCTGCTGTCATGAAAATGATGATCGTATTATTGTTTTAGTCTTTACAACAAAATTATTATCTCTGTCTTGAGAGTGGGATTGGCTATCATTTTGTAGACATTTGCCATCCATGAAGGGCATTCAAGCTGATAATCAGAGAAGCAAAGCAGCCGAGGCAGTAGATCTCACCCCACCCCAGCGGAAAGGGCAATCCTGTCCCCACAGATCCTCAGAGGCAAAGGCTCTGAGTTCCTGTCTCCTCTTCCTTTTATTTCTTTCTCCACCCAAACATATCACTCCTGTCTCCACCCCCCTAGTGCTAGGATCAAAAGTGTGAGCTCTATTACTCTTCACTTTGGGTAGGGTATGGTGGCCTTGAACTTAGGGAGATCCATCTGCCTATCTCCTGAGTCCTGGGATTAAAGGTGTTTGCCACCACTGCCTGGCTATATGGCTTGCTAGTATGGCTGCTGGGATTAAAGATGTGTATCACCACTGCCTGACCTCTATGGCTTGTGACTGGCTTTACGTTCTGAACCCTCAGGCAGGCTTCAAAAATCATAAATAATATATCACCCCAATGCATGGTGACAATAACATCAATGTTAATAATAACAGTAGTAAAACGCCATTTTAAAGCATGTAAATATATATAACCATACATATATTAAACAAATATCATATGACCTCATATTATCTAAGTATCTTATACAAGTTTATTTAGTATCCACAGTGATCCTGTCATATAGGAAGCACTGACGAAGTCTACAGATAATATCTTAATAATAACAGGACCTGGGGTTGAAGAAATGGCTCAGCGGAACTTGCTGCTCTTCCAGAGGACAAGAGTACAGCTCGCAGTACCCATGCCAGGCAGTTCACAACTGCCAGGACTCCAGGTCCATGGGTTCTAATGTCCTCTTCTGGAATCCACAGGTATCTGTACACACATCACACACACACACACACACACACACACACACACACACACTCTCTCTCTCTCTCTCTCTCTCAAGTGAAATGAACCTCAAAAAAATTATGAGGAAAAAGGTTTACTCCAACCATTACAAATTGCATGCTGTGTTTCCTGTATCTACCATGTGTGGAGAGTACCCTATGTGGCCCCCATGGGATCCAGAATTCTATTGCTATAGCTCTAATGGAACCAAACCCTGAAGTACAATCATTCTTTCTAAGATACTTGTTCAACAAACAGAGGCATTCGGTTGCTCTAAAACTGAAGACTTGGGGAGTTGAAGACTGTGATATTTGCTAACGGGCAAATCTCTCGATGCTGGAACAGGCAGTGCATGGGGGAAAGGAGTTAAGAAGCCAAGAGAGATTAGGGGAAAGATTTGTAATGCTTTATTTAAAGCAAAGCAGATACATCCTGCTATGCCAGCATTAAGGTTTTGGAAGCCAGGGTGGAAGGAGTGAGGGAACCCACAGCATGGTTGTCAGGAACCCTTTGAGGGATAGAGAAGGCCTTGGGTAGCTAGGAGAATGCTCAGAGGAAAAGACCGTGTTGGGAACGTCACGGGAGCATGACATGCATTCATTGCTTGGCGTATGCGGGGCTAGCTGACTTCCCATGTTTGGCTGTACCTTCCCTTCCCTTCCCTTCCCTTCCCTTCCCTTCCACCCACTTGTGTCTCATGTCCCCAAGAATGAGAACTGGCCGAGGTTGTCACTCTCCCCTCTTCTATCACAAGGTGCCCCACACATGTTATGACCCTGAAAGGCAAGTCCTAGTCAGGAGGGAATGAGGTGTAGATGAAGGCCAGCGGGCCAAGTTCTGGAAAGCTGGTCAATTGCACAGCGTTGTGCTATATCCCAGCCATCGCGTCCCTGGGTTCGCCTGAGTTCTGCTGCCAGGGAACCTGCAATGATGGAGACTATTTCTGCTCTGTTTTGTTTTCCATTCAGCTGATTATGAAATGGAGAGGCACCAGGAATGAGGACTACACGGTGCGTTTTGTCCTCAGAGTCCCCTTACTCAGGCCATTCTCCCTTATCTACAGAGGAGGAGACAGTGGGGTGTTAGAGTGAGAATTCTTACATCCATGATGACAGTCACAGCTGTGTCTGCAAAGAGGTCAGAAAACACGAGCAGATATTATCTGACACCACCAGCTCTCCTAGGAAAACGCCCTACACGTCGCAAAAGTAACAGAACCATTCTAATATGCGGGGCTACACGCAATGTGTTTCCTAGAGTGATTTTTCTCATGTCACAGTTTCTTAACAAACCAAGATCTGTTTTACATGTTGTACCAGGAAATTTAGAGCAACTCTTAGGCCTAGGAAGGCTTTCATTGTTCAACTGAAATAAAAAACTTTTGTAGTCATGAAGCAATTTGTCTTAAAATAATCTTGTAAATGTCCTCTCAACCCCAAGAAAAGAAGAGTGAATGCTGAGAGCAGTTGTTCGCTGCCTGGGTGTGGATGACCCTGTGATGTTAAACCCATGCAAATGTCTACACTGTAGTCTGGTGTGTCAGAGTCTGCATGCGTACCTGGGGAAGCTGAGGGCATAGAAAGAGGGTGACACCTGGTAAGCCACTTTAGGACCATGTTCTAAAATCAATGCTGCTCACTGTTTTAAAAACAACAACGAAATGAAAAAAAAATTAAATGTGTGTGTAGCACAGGAGAGTCGCTCTCACACTGCCCCAGTGGGTAAGTCCCATCCCCACATTTTAGTGTAGCTCCCTTTCCTTGAGTGTGGGATGCATTTAGAGGCTTGCTTTTAATGAATAGAAGATGGCCAAACAGTCATAGTGTCATGTCTGAGACTAGGTAACAAAAAGACTGTGGCTTCCGTCCCGGGGTGACCCCATCCCCATTATTCTGGAAAAAGCAAGGTTTTTGACACCCTGTGGAAAGATGAACATAACAGCTAAGATGACTCTAGTCTGCCCACAGCTGTAGGCTGACCTTCCCTGACCAAGCCTTGACATGATCATCCCTGCAGACCTGTTTCGACTTCAGCCTGAGAAGACACATTGGACTTCCAGATGTGGCTAAGGTAGGCAGCTGGAGATGGAAGCCTGAAATACCGAGGGAGACTGGAGTAAGGCATACTCTGGCTAGGAGAGTGACTCCGTGTGCCTCAGGGTGCTGGTCTGAAAGCATCAGATTGTTGAGCATGTGGAAACACATGTTTTTTTTTTAACCAGAAAAGTCACATCCTATGTCATTTTTAATTTTTTACTTATTCTTCTCTCATGCCATATATCCCGACTGCAGCCTCTCCCCCCACGCCTCTCAGTTGCTCCCCCATTTCCTCTGCCCCCCCCATCCACTGTTCCTCCATTTCCCTTCAGAAAAGAGCATGGTTCCCAGTGATATCAACCAAGCACAGCATAACAAGATACAATAAGATAGGCAAGGCCCCTCATATCAGCCGGGCGTTGGTGGCGCACGTCTTTAATCCCAGCACTTGGGAGGCAGAGGCAGGCGGATCTCTGAATTTGAGGCCAGCCTGATCTACAGAGTGAGTTCCAGGACAGCCTCCAAAACAATACAGAGAAACCCTGTCTCGAAAAACAAAAACAAAAACAAACAACAAAAAAAAGAGCCCTCATATCAAGGCTGGACAAGGCAACCCAGTAGGAGGGAAAGAGTCTCAGGAGGAGGCAAAAGAGTCAGAGACACCTCCTCTCCTCCTGTAAGGAGTTCCACAGACACCCAAAGCTAAACAACCATGATTGTTACTTAAGTCTCTGTGAGCCTCTATGAGGCCTGCTTAGTTGATTCTATGGGCCTTGTTCTCCTAGTGTCCCAGACCCCTCTTACAAACCTTCCTACCCATCTTCCATGGGGTTCCCCAAGTTCTGCCTGGAGTTTGTGTGTGGGTCTCTGCATCTGCACCCATCAGCTGCCAAAGGAAGCCCCTCTGGTGACGATTGGGCTAAACACCTATCTAAGAGTGCAGCAGAGTATCTTTAGAAATCACTTCATTGACTTTTCTTTTGTCAGTTGTATTTTGTTCTACCCTAGGTCTCAAGCCATCCAGCTTCTGTTTCCTAGCCGTCAAGGCAGTGATGGGCCTGGGCTCCCTCTCCTGGCTTCAGCCTCAAGTTAGACCAATCAGTCATTGGCGTCACTTCCACAAGCTCTGAGCCACCCTTGTCCCAGCACATCCTGAAGGCAGGATGGATGTGGGTTGAAGGATTTGCCTCCCGGTCCCACCAGTGAGAGCCTCACCAGGTTACCAAAGATGGCTGGGCCCGGCTCCGTAGCCCCCATTACTAGGAGTCATCACTGGGGTCATCCTCATAGGCTGGAACCAGATCTTGTAAACAGTAAGTATTGGTGTGATTATCATTATTTGACATATTTGGAGGAGAGGAGACTTCCCAGCAAGCAAGGGAGCCCCGGAGCTGAGCAGAACCCCAGGCACCATCACTTTCCTCCTACACGGGGTCTCCTCCTTTACCGCTATCTCCAACGGTCTTCAGAGTCAGGGGAATCCCACACTGTTTCAGAAAGAGCAGAGCAGTAGACAGTGTACTCCAGACCTGTGGTTTCAGGATTCAGGACAGTTCAGCAAACCTGTGCTTTTTCTACCATAAAGAAAAGTCTGTTTTCTTAAGGAGTTAGGGGTGAGGAGCAGGTAGAGACATTCACCTCCCTGGAGGCTTCCAAAGCCTTAGATAAGAAATCGAGGACTCAGTCAAGTTGGGGCTAGAAAAAATAGCAGGCACAAATCAGGCATCATCTTAGTGAAAACCCTACAAAATGAGAGCATTGGGTCACATCATCTATCTCCAGCCGTGCAGACGTATTTAAGACGATGACAAAGAAATCCGGATTGTTCTGCCCAGCCCTTTGTAGATCAGAGCGCAGCTCTGGGCTACACTGATGACAATGCAGCTACTCGTCACTCTACTCTGTCACTCTTGTCACTGATACGTGCTCTGTTAATCGCGACTTGCTGCTCGGACCCGCGCATAAATGTGGATGGGTAAAAGGCAGAGGTTGAGAAGTGTACCAAGAATAACACTGCTTGGAGTCTTCCCAGCCATCGGTGGAGCCAACGCAGCAGACACTTTGAAGCCGTCCTGCACCCTGGCGCACCCTTTGAGTCCTTTTCTTGCTACAGTGAGCAGTTGTGTCATCTTTCATGCATCTATGAGGGTGTTTGTTCTTGGTGTGCTACTTCAGTGAGGTCCTGGGGCAGAAACAAAAGAACCAAGATGAGGACCACAACAGCTGTTCTTTGAGGGTTTTGCCTACAGGGTAAATGCTCTGGCCAACCGGTTATTTAAATAACAGGAAAAAAAAGAGCAAACCTGAAGTTGAAATATTACAATAGCAAGTCAATCAGGAGTAGAGTCAAGGTATGCAAAAGTGCTGAGGTAGCCTGAAGAGGGTGAGCCCCTGACTAGGAGTTGGTATCCCCCAGAGAAGGGGAACAGCATAGAGACAGAGAAGCCAGGGAGAGGAAGAAGGAAAGGGGGATGGGAGACAAAGACAGGCATGGCAACGGGAGAGGGCTGCCTTAAGGAATGACCTCCATAACTGTGGGGACGCAGGGCCAAGCTCTGTAGAGAACGCAGGCCAACTGGATACTCTGGGTCTTAGGAAAGCGGGCTAGACACTCAAGCAGGGCTTTCAAGCTGCTGTCTGGAAGCAGACTGGATTCCTTTACCAAAGCCTTAGTCTGTGCTCTTAAAGCCCCTGACTTGGACGACGTTTGTCCACATTGTAGATGGGCATCAACTTTCTCTGAGCTTCCTGACTCAGGCATCAAGCACAATGAAGAAATGTTTTCAAAGCAAAAATGCATCCTGGTGCCTGGCCGGCATTCTGGCACGAGGACCCAGCCAGGTGTGCGTCCACCAGCAACCTCCATGATTCACTCAAGGAAGGGCTTCTTAGAAGACATATTCCGTTGCCCAGTTATGCTCGGCTTCCCGAAGATGGCGTCCCAGGAAGCAGGAAAGGAGGGCAAAGTTAGAGAGAGCGCCAGCGAGGCGTGCAGGCTAACACAGGCTGCCACCGTACGAAACAGGGACACAATATTGCTGGGGACCCTCTGTGGTTTCCGGTCCCAAGGCTGAGCAACTGAAGATATGACGTCTGCTTTCATTAAAGAACCTTGTCATCGTACTTTAAAAGCAAAAGGGACTCAACCCATATGTTTCTTCAGCCTGGTGCCCTCCCCACAGGTCATTCTGACGTAGCTACAGTGCCAGGCGTGGATGTGGCTGAGCTAGGGGACCAGATGATTGTCCCAGGACAGATGGTCCCAAAGAGAGCATGTCTGTGCAGGCAGCACCCACTCAGAGTGGACCAAGAAGCCGGCAGCATCTGTCAGCCACTCCCAAGGTAGCACTCAAGGTGGGAAACCTGTGAAGTCTAGCAGGGGAATTTGAAAGCTCGTCTGTTAATGCTCAGAATGAGCACAGAAAGAGGCTGACCTCTCAATCTGCCTTCTCCTCTCATTGCCCTGGGCCACGTTCAGAGTTTCTAAGACAGGCTGCTCTGCCTCCCTTGACTGTCACAGGCTTTGAAGTGCCAAGGCACAGGAAAGCCATCTGCTTCCGGCACACAGTGACATTGCTGTCTTACCACTAAAGCTCCTTGATCACGTTCATCTACTTTATCAAAAGAGACACACAGGAGGACACATGAGAAGAATTTACTTTTTTCTAGAGTCAAGGCCCTTTCTCATGTAAATGTCTGGTCCAAGGCCCACTCTCTGCCTCTGATTGAAATCTCATCTGTAAATGACTCACTCGTGTGGTGGCTTGCAAAGTAAGCAGACATTTCTACAGGAACCTCCTCGCTCTTGGCCTCTGGTGAATTCTCACCCAGTCAGCTGATGCAGCCTTGTTGTCACCAAGCGTCGTCCCCATCCCTCTGCTGACCAGCGAGTCTCCCCTTGGGGACACCTGCTCCAATTCCCACACCTCTTAGACTGAGCATGCTCGGCTCCAGCTGCCGCCTGTGGCTCACGCTGGTTCCCAGACCCCAGACAGCTGAGGCGACTGTCCTTGGCTGTCTGTCCCGCTCTCCGGCCATCACATGCTTTTCTGTGATCCAGACTGTGATAGGGATCCCCCCGGGAGTTTTATAACAATTTAGTTAGTATTCATAGAGTGTTTTGACGCGCGAGGCGTGGGATTTGAAACATTTAGCACTTATGTAGATGCTGCAAGGTGGGTGATTTTCTTCCCCCACTGGGAAGATGAAGAAATGATGGCAGAGAGACTGAATGGCTTTACTGACGGCCTGTAATCCAGATGGGACAGAGCCCTAGGATCTGTACTGTTATCTATCTGCCTTGATTTCCCTCTTTTTTCACATCCTCTCATCCTAACCTCTCCTTAACGAGCTTCACTAAGCCAACAGGAGGCAGGACAGTGGCCTTTGCCTGCACACTGAGAGGGGGACTGGATGTGTACAATACACACTGAGTGACAGAACGGAATGTAGGGACTGGACATTCGTCAGGATTCTGTCATAGAACAGCATAGGATGTATTCATCATTGTAAGAGAGAGTATATAATTTTGAGACGGGGGTATCCTACTTCCAGGATACAGGTCAGAGGACACGAAGGGCTTCTTGTGCTGTCTGCAGTCTGGGACTGTTTTTCGGTTGTCAGTGGTTGCTGTAGGGGTCAGGAGGATTCCATCCGGTCTGGTTGGGAATGTCTAAGGAGTAAACCTGGCCCTGGACTCAGAGAAGTCCTATGTCATGGCAGGCAATGCAGCGTCGGGGGGGGGGGTGGAACCCTGAACCTAGGTCTACTGAAAAATGTATATCCTCACCTTCATGTTTGCACAGTGCACTGCGGTCTGAAGGCGGGCCTCCTGGGCCTCAGCGAGAGCAGCGGGATGGCAGCCATCAGTGTGGGTTGGCTGACCTTGATCGGCAGCCTGTGTGAATTGGGAGGTGCCTAGAAAGCCGGAGGGGGGCATCTCTGAGAGTGTCAGTGGGGGTGTCTTCAGAAAGGGCTGGCACAGGCTAGTGAGTGGGGGCGGGCTTTTCTGGTACGGATTAAGTTGGGCACACAGGGAGGAGGAGGAGTTCTGTTCTCACACACTCGACCCTTCCCGAGCCTTTGTCGTTTGCTTCGGTCTGTTTTCTTCTGCCTCAGCACCCGAGAACATCAGACGCCACATTCTTCAGCACAGACTTGCTCTTCAGGGGAGGGGGGCTGCATCACTGCAGGACTTGCTTGGCCAAGCCTTCACTGTGGGTCCACCCGCCTCCAGTCACAGGAGCCAATGCAATAGTGCCTCTCATCTCTCTGACGTAAACTTCCTATCTCTGAAGTACCGTATCTTATCAGTTCTTTAAGAATGTCATACATGCAAATGTTTTCCATTAATAATTTAAGAATTCCATAGTGAACACTGTAATTACATCATCTCACCCCCAACTCCCTCTCAAATCCATGGACTCTTATCCTCTACTATTATTATCATATATATGCACACATTTATAAAAAAAACAACCCGAGTTGTTTTAGTTCATTTAGTGCTGCTCCCCTATGCATGTGTCCAGGGCTGATCCCTTGGGATTAAGTGACTATCAGGGGGCTCGTTCCCGAGAAGCCTGATTCTTTCTCTCTCAGCAGCCATTAACTGCCTGCAGTTCTTTACCTGTTGCTGGTGCCTCTTGAAATTTCCTCCTTCTGCGTTGGTATGGCAACCGGTATTGTCCTTGTCCGGGTCTTGTGGAAGCAGCTACACTGGTGAGGCTTCATGGGTGTGGGTTGTCTGTCGTATGCAGAGACACAGCCCCATGGCAGATGTTCTGTCTCCCCAGCTCTTTCTACCCCCTCTTCCTCAATGTCCTCTGAGCCTAGGCGTCAAAGTTGTGCTGTAGATGGATCAGCTGGGGCTGGGCATCCCACGGCTGGTTGTCCTTTTTTACAGGTTGTATTTTCACCAGTGGCGACTTTATGGAGTGGTCTCTGCCTGTGGTAAAAAGAAGATATTTTCACGAGAAGCGAGGCTACTTATGAGTGTGGATTTAAGGGTAAGTATTTAGAACACAGTTAGGAATTCTACTGGTGTAGGAAATTTGCAGAAGTAGGGTCCATGGCCTCATTCATCACAGGGAATGGGCTAAGTTTACAGTTTCAGGCATGAGTCCCCTCCTATTGAGAAGGCCTTAAGTCCAACTAGACAGCTGAGCTGTTGGTTACCACCGGCCACTATTGTGCTTTGGGGGATTTCTTGCCAGTCTGGTCATTGTCCCTAGGCTTTGTATCTGGGTAGGACTACCTGTTGTTTTTCCCCCTTGACAGCTTGCATAGCTCCTTCCAATAATGGGAGAGCTAGCCCTCGGGGAGGAGGCTTCCAGGTCAGCTCCAGCTCAAGTCCTGTGTCTGAAATATGTAGTGCCTTCAATCATAAAACCTTATTTCTGGTTTCTGGAAAGCAGACCATACACAGGAGTCAGAAGACGATATTAGATCCCCTGGAACTAGAGTTACAGATAATTACCTTGTGGGTGCTGGGAACTGAACCCCAGTCCTCTGCAAAAGCAACAAATGCTCTAGCTGCCAAGCCCTGAAGGGCCATATTTTTCATATTTTTAACATGTGTTTTCTTACGATGTAGTCAGTGAGTTTTACACTTTCTTCCTAAAGGCTGAGAGAGAGAGAGCATTTGAACAGCACAACATTGCATCTGGGAAACTATTTGTGTTGAGGATTAGGAAGGTCTTTAGAAGCTTGTGAGCTCTCTAATGAAGTATAATTGACAGGTTTGATTGTATGAGAGGGCACACATGGAATTCTGCACAAACATTTACAAGATAGATCAGCCAATGTCGCAGCCATAATTGCCTGATGAGCAAGTTTCCTGGAGCCGTAAAAGCTACCAGTGAGTCTTGTCCCCAAGCATCTGAGCAACATCTGCTCCTATGACTGCACAACAATGTCCCTCAGGTCCCCCTACACCCAACAGCATCAGACCAGCCCCCTCTCCAAAGAATAAACTCAGTCGGCTTCTTTTGTTTCCTGGGGTTTCTATAACAAATTACTACATACTGAGTAGTTTCAAACAACAGAGATAGATCATTTCACCATTTCCAGAAGCCATGAGACCTCTGTATGTCTATATCCTTCCCCAGTCCTGTAAATTACAGTCTACCCTAATGATGTAATCTAAATTTGAATAGATCTTGCAATGACTCTATATCCAAGAGAGGCTGAAGGCCACGATTTAAACAAGAAAAGAATGCAGCTCAACACATGACAGTGACCAAACACCCATTGTCATCATGGTCACCCATGACCATACCTGCTCTCCTTCCTGCTGGGTTGTCTAGACCTGAATCCTCCCAAACACTTTGAGACTGGTCACAGCTCACAGTCAGGACCTTCCCTTCCTTTCCAGTGGCTACCTTTCAGCTAGCACTCTTCCATTTGGGTGACACTCTCCCCGAAACTAACAGAAGCCAGGAGGGATCTAGAAATATCTGAGAGTTCTTTGTCACATAATCCGGTCTCATTGTAGACACTCTTTTGAGGTCGACACAGTGGACTAGGCTGGGTGGCCTCATTACTGGAAGAAGGGACCCCTCACCTGTGCTGGGCTGGCGTTCTATGTGAGCAGGTGTGCAGCTGACCGTGGGGACATCCCCAGGTATCTCTGTTTCCATCCTTTGCAGGGGGTGGATGCAGCCACACATAAGGAGCATGGGTGAAGATCACTTATCTGGACACAGGAGCCTGACCCCTCTATTGAAGCCGATCACACCTCATTTCTTCTCCGCATGAGGGAAGCCTTACTCCCAGCCAGTGCTTGTGGGAATTGTGTCTTTCTTGTGTCGTCTTCCCTTTGTGCTCAGCCCACCAACTGCCTCTACTTGAACCTCAGTAAAGAGCCTGACAGCTCTGTCCCTTTTTGTCCCCCAGGACCAGGCAGTGAGCGTTACAATTTGGACTGCTTCTCACTGTGTCTCTTGTCTCCTCCTCTGGGCAGACATCCCACAGAAAGGATCTCTACCAAACTTCATTTCCGGGCACTTGATTTTGTCTTTAAAAAAAAGTGGGGGGGGGAATAATTCTACAGATTTTTCTCTGCAGACTTAATGTCTGAAACACACCCAGTTCCTGCTCCCAAATAGTTTCCTCTGTACGTTTCTCGTGTGGGTTTTGTTCTAACCCGAGCCAGGCTTGCCTCAAGCCGGACTGCACCCTTTGTGAGCCCATCCTAGAGACCACGTCTCTATAGGCCACAAGCACGAGAAGAGAAGGCCCCTCCTCCCAGCGCTTGCCAGGGCTCACTGTCTTTCCAGATGACTGGTGTTTTTACAAGGTTCCCTTTCATACTACAGTCTCGGAATCGCTGCTACAGGCCTGGAAGCCTTGGCACACACCACACAGCATTGTGAAAGAAAGCCCTCAACCCCATGAGGGCTGACCACTCCATGTCAGCCACTGTCACCACTTCTCTTACCTTTGGTCCTTGGCCAACAGGAAAACCAGGGATGCTCATGTTAGCAGGAAAACAGAATGGATTAAGCTTAAAATGGAAGGCTGGAGGGGGCTGAAGGGGGCCAGGCCTTTATTTGCATAAGGCATCTTAGCTACACCTGACATTAATAAGCGAAATGAAGACTGATCAGTATTTAAAACAACCATACAAATTGGGACATGCTCGTTTAGTCAAGAGAATGTGACGCAAAGCCAGAAATTGGCAGTAAATGAACTGCCTACGGCCAGTTGTTTCTCTTCCCTTCTTGCGAGATATTCATGGGAATCAGATTTTTGGAGCGCCTCCACCAGCTTCGACTTCCCCCAGTGAATTTATAATCCCTTTGTGTCATGACAGAAAGTTCACAGAAGTGTCATTCAGAAGAGGGTGGGCATCTACAAGTGGGGTCCTCTGCAAGTTCTGCCAATTTTCCCCAAAGGTAGGTAATTTAAATATCAACATTTTTCATATATGCTAGATCCTCGACTATGCGCTTTACAGAAGTTGTCCTGGTTAATCCTCGTTAAGCCCTGAGCTATTTTAGCATTTCCGTTTTGTACAGAGCTAACCTGAGATGCTGCAAAGATTAGGCACCACCCAAAAACACATGCCTAGCTGGTGAGACAAGGATTCCAATCACGTTCAGCAGCAGACTCTGCAACCCATGTTCTTGGTTCCTAAGATTACAAATAAAGCTCAGTTTGCCAGTCCCAACCACCTAGCATTATCACCAACTGTGTGAACAGCATCGGCTAATTGTTTGCATATGGGCAACAACAGTGTCACATTTCCTATAAAAGACATAAAGGAAACACCATGTGAGAAACGGATCACCTGTTGGTAAAACAAGAACAACAACTAAACTAAGTTACAATGTAGGTTAATGCATATTCTATTGAAATCATAGCTTGTCTAAAAAGTATTGTGGTAGTTTGAATGTGATTGGCCTCCATAAGCTCATATAGAGTGGCACTATTAGGAGATGTGGCTGTGTTGGAGTTGGTATGACCTTGTTGAAGGAGGCATGTCCCTGTGGGGGTGGGCTTTGAGTTTCCCTGTTGCTGGTTTTCTTGCAGCCGTGTTGCCCCAAATAAACACATGGATACTATTTAATTATAAAACTATTACAGGTCAATGACTAGGACTTCTTATTGGCTAACTCTGTCCTAAATATTAACCCATTTCTATCAATCTATGTATTTCCATGTGGTCTTGGCTTACTGGAGAAGTCAGAACCTGCTACTACTTTGGCAGGCTACATGGAAACTCCTCTCTGCCTACACTTCCCAGAATTCTCCTCTTCTCCCAGTCCCACCTATCTTCCTGCCTTATTGGCCAACAGTGTTTTGTTCATTAACCAATAAGAGAAGCACATACATAGGGCAACAACCATCATTTCCCTATGCTCAGGATACCATCCAGAATCTCAGTGGACTTAAAAACTCCTCTCTGCCTACACTTCCCAGAATTCTCCTCTTCTCCCAGTCCCACCTATCTTCCTGCCTTATTGGCCAACAGTGTTTTGTTCATTAACCAATAAGAGAAATACATACATAGTACAACCACCATCATTTCCCTATGCTCAGGATACCACCCAGAATCTCAGTGGACTTCCTACTGTAGGACTCTCAGCTTCTTATCTAGTATAAGGTCTGCCTGCACATGTCCATGCTCCTCATCATAATGATAATAGACTGAACCTCTGAAACTGTAAGTAAGCAACTCTAATTAAATGTTTTCTTTATAAAGAGTTGCTGTGGCCATGGTGTCTCTTCACAGCAATAGAAGCCTTAACCAAGACAAGTGCCTACATGATCAAACAGTCCTCAACACTCAAATGTTCCTTGCAATGAAGTCAGTATGACTGTTGAATGGAGACTTCCAGCTGAACTAGGATGCTTAGAATCTGGTGTGAAGAATGTTTAGAACTCTGGTGTGAAGAATGTTTAGAACTCTGGTGTGAACAATGTTTAGAACTCTGGTGTGAACAATGTTTAGAACTCTGCTCTGGTGTGAACAATGTTTAGAGCTCTGGTGTGAAGAATGTTTAGAGCTCTGGTGTGAAGAATGTTTAGAGCTCTGGTGTGAACAATGTTTAGAACTCTGGTGTGAATAATGTTTAGAGCTCTGGTGTGAACAATGTTTAGAACTCTGGTGTGAATAATGTTTAGAGCTCTGGTGTGAACAATGTTTAGAGCTCTGCTCTGGTGTGAACAATGTTTAGAGCTCTGCTCTGGTGTGAACAATGTTTAGAGCTCTGCTCTGGTGTGAACAATGTTTAGAGCTCTGCTCTGGTGTGAACAATGTTTAGAGCTCTGGTGTGAACAATGTTTAGAGCTCTGCTCTGGTGTGAACAATGTTTAGAGCTCTGGTGTGAACAATGTTTAGAACTCTGCTCTGGTGTGAACAATGTTTAGAGCTCTGCTCTGGTGTGAACAATGTTTAGAGCTCTGGTGTGAATAATGTTTAGAGCTCTGCTCTGGTGTGAA